ATAAAAGCAAATGATAAAAAAACAATCTTGTATTTTGTAACCAACTGAAGGCATTTCTAATATAAATTCCAAAAATATGTTGTCTTTTACTTGATTTATTAATTTCTAAATATTAAGAGTTAATTTAATTTTAATTTTATGTTGATTATTTTTTTAATTAATGTTTATTATTGGGTATGTTAGATAAAAGATTATTATAATCATATTAGATATCAAAAGATTATTTTAAATTAGTGATTTTTTTATAATCTTATTTTTCCATATTGGAAAAAAGAAATTGCTCTCATAACAATTACATCAAAGAAAATAATAATGATGCAAATTAATCAATTGAAATTTAATCCATAAGAAAAATACGTGATGTAGACTAACATATTTCTACATGTCTTTAAAATTAAGTAACTTTTTGAATACCAAGTTCTCAATTAGTAGAAAAAAAATTAAAAATAGTTGAGATTATGGTTGAGTATTTAAGTCAGATATATAACAAACTCTTTGTGTTTTTTTGGCATGTTTGGTTATATAAAAAATTAAAAATTAAAATATAAGAAAATTAAAATATAGTAGTATAGGCATACCAATTTATTGGAAAGTGCCAAATTTTAAAAATTGGATAATTTAACTTTAAAATTATTTTATAAATAAGGTGGAAATATATCTAATTTTCTATTTCTTATTGTTGTTCAAGTTCTATGGCAAAAAATATCTTATAATATATCCGAAAATTATGTACTATTATTACAGATTATTTGTACGAAGTAAAAAAATTTATTATGTTCAATTAAAAAATTAATATTTAATAAATTTTATATAAATATATTATAATTTTAGATTATTATAATATTATAGATTTTTGGACTAAGCCTCACTATACAACTCAATGTAATTTTGTTGTATAAACAACCATTGTATATTGCAACATATTAAGAGCTAGTAAACCACATCAAAAACAAAATGACATGCAAACTTAATGCATTATTAATAAATCATTCTGGCCAAGTGAATAGATATAGGTCTCTATTACAACTAATGAAGCCAATTTTTTCACAGCATCATTGCATAATTTTACAAAAACTTATGTACTTCTTTGGAGTTTAATGCAAAAGAATTTGCAATAATCCATCATAACCTTTGATAAATTTAATATTACAAGAACACATAATTATAGCCTAATATTTCCATATAAAAACATAAAAAAAGTGCATAAGTATAGCATAATATTGCCATATTAAAACAATAAAAAAGTGAAATTTTGTCAAGTGGATAAATATTGTCTTAATATTTATTGCAATTAATTAGGCCATTTTTTTTACTTAAAAAAAAGAAAAATTTAAGAGTTTAAGCATTGAAAGAAATAAAAAAGATTAACTAAGAGGTTATACAATTATATACAACTAAAATCCTCATATAATATATTTACTTCTTTAGCATACTCATAAAACTTAACTTAACAAAGATACTAAGTTCATAAAACTCTTCATCTAATATCTCTCCAAAGTCTAATTTGAAGTCAATTCTAGGAGATTTAGTCCTATTTAAAAGTCAATTTTAATTCTAAAATAAATCTCATTAGGACTTAAAAGATGAAGTAATTTTTATTATAAATGCGTACAATACCAATTACATTCATTTGAGAAGAAAAGGCACCTAATGCCATGTCATGTGACAATTTGGATTGCAAGTCTTGTACTATTTCAACTAAACAATTAAGCTAGACCATCTAATCCTTGCTTAATGAGAGATTTATTTTGATCTTTTTTCCATCTTTTCAAAATTTGTAACTTACTTCGATACATAGATGTAATGCATGCACTTTAAGCTTAGTCTAAATGTGGATTCTTATTGGCATGTTATAATATTGTTATAAGCATATAAGTAATAGATGACAAAGATTATTTTTTTGATATATAAATATAAGTTTTGTAATATAATTATTATACCAATAAAAAAATAAATTATAAATCAAAATAATAAATAATAATTTTAAAAAAATTAAATAAACCAAATTTATCCTTGACATATAACAGCAATAATACCAAAGCCTTAACTTTACATAATATATTTAAAAAGTTGTTAAAGCCACACCTTCCTTTGCCATCTCATCTTTAATTTTGTTCATTCTTCTCCGTTCCTCGTCTCTTATTGCCAACCTCCCTATCTTGAGCTCCCTTGTTCTTGTATAGATCTTTGTTGGAGTCCTTTCAATAATATATATTCAAAATAAATGTTGATCAAGGAATAAATATTCACTATTAAGAATTGATTTGTATTGAACATGGTTATAGGGATTGAATTGTGTTTAGTTTTTAATCTTCTAAAAGAAGTATGGTAGAAAGTTAATATGGATTGGTGAGTTATAGATGGTATCAAGAAATAGAAGGCAAGTCACATCCAACACCTTTAAGGATATTTATAACAAACAAAATGAAAGATCGGATTTACAATAAGGAGATAAAAAGCAGCAATATATGTTGAAGCAATAGCTTAATAACAATTTAGTATACCAAAGTGAAACAAAAGTGAATGTTAAGGTTTTGAAGTAGTGAAGAAAGTCTTTAAGATAGCACACTTTATACTTATGCAGATAAATAAAAAGAGTTGTATAATACTAACATTGCCTTCTATGCCAATTCTTTTTGCCAAGATTCTGGTAAAAGCACTACTTAACTTAACAAAGACCATGATATCTTGTGGAAAGCGAAAATTCTTATAGCATAAGAATGCCACTAACTTCATTTACATAATTAAGCTTTTGATAGTACTTCTTGAGAAACTTAGGGAGTCTATCCATCTTATTCATTTATATGTTGTGATTGTTTTCCGTGATTTGCACAATTTGATGTAGAAGGGGTACATGCTTCTCAACAAGAGGTTGAAAACAAGAAGCAAGAGAAGAAAGGAGAAGAGGGGGGAGATGAAGCTTAAAAGACTAGGCACAAGGAATAGAAATAGGAAGAAGAGATATGGAACAAGGGACTAGGAATAGGATCCAAAGACAAGGATAGACAAAACTAATCATAAGATGGTAAAAAAAGATGTGGCTATATCATAGAAAGTGATGAATGATAATGTTTGGATGAATAAAATTTTATATATGAGTATAAATATTAAAATAATATAGTATACAAATTCAATGTAAACAAAAGAATAAAAGTTGTGTAATTTTTTGATGTATCTTTTTCTACAAAAAGATAGAATTCATTGTTTTAATTAAAATACATAAATATATGTACATATATATAATTTTTTATATGTCTACAAAAGGCAAGAGAAACTATGCAATACTTTGAGATGATCAAATCAAGGTGTTAGTATACTACTACTAGGTGGATTGAGAAAATTTTATCCTACGTGTTTAATATGAAAATGCTACATCACACTCTAAAAAAAAACGCCTCCAAGATGACCAGGCAAAGTTCAAAGCCTCCAAGAAGAGGAGATCTAAACGAAGTACAAGAGTCGTTGCAATCGATGTTGAGAATTGCTGTTTCAACGAAGTGGTTGAAGGGACTAGCAGACACTGCACCTGATTTAGCTCTTTAATAGCGTAGAATGGCACTCGAAGTTGCTGCTGCTGTTGCTATTTGGTGCAAAAAGCTTGCACTACGCTGGTAGCGATGCAAAATTCATCGTGCCAAATAATTGGAGCAGATACGAAATCCACCGCAATAAGTTGTACAATTCCTACGTGCTACGCTGTTGTCTAAACCTGCTCCTTCAGCAGGAAAGAGACAAAGAGAAAGTGGTAACCATGTTAAGGGTCCGGAATGCCAGGAACAATGCATATGTCGAGAGTGCCCAAGCACCGGGATTTGATGGTCTACCAGAGTTTCGATGAGCTTGATTGGAGCAAATTTACGAGAGCTGAAAAGGGGGCAGCGAGTGCGGCGTTTGTCCATGAATCTTTAAGGGCGTTGATCAGCAGAAGCAGCCTTGAAACCTTAACTTTGTAAATCATTGATTTCGGCATTTATGTATCGTGAACTGTCCAGGATATGGTCTAGTTCACCTGCCTTGCATGAGTTCGGAGGAGCCTAGAGCCTTAGTTGCTGGATGAGTACCATCTGGAAGTTGATAGGTAACACCCATGGTAAGGATTTTCAAATAGAGTAGAGTAACCAAAAACTAGCCAATGTGGGTGTGGGTTAAAGGGGACACGGTCTAAGTCGGAGTCTCATTTACTAGAGCTGATAAGATTGAAAATATTGAGTGTCCAGCTAGCTGGCTGGTTGATTAGCTTCATCAGCTGCCAGATGGTAACATGCCTAAAATTTCGGGATGAGAATCGGTTTAGTTTCGTATGCTTCGTCAGATGATTTTGTTTCTGCCACAACAGCGGAGTTGCATACTTGTACAGGTTGCTATGAAAAAGCACCTCACTCCGAGTCTGGAGTTCAAATGCAGTATACTACGGTGATGATGATGGTAGGAAACAGATGAATGATGCGCGTTACGGTGTTGATTTGTAGAGTTGCTCTCCAATGCATTACACAATGATCAAAGATTAGGTTTGTAAACTGCACACTGCGGTTACAGCCAGGCGGTAATACTTACCCACACGAAGAGGAGAAAACACACAGCCTCATGCCGCAACAATCTCTCCATGTTGTCAGGTCTCCTTGTTCAGGGAACAATGGAACCCAGGGTCCACGACATCTTGACATTCAATGCTTCAACTGTCCTGTTTATAAGGAATCCCCTGCAAGCATTTCCACATTGATGGAATGAACCACTCCTGATCTTTGCTTATGAATCCTCAAAACCAAGACGATAAGGAAAAGCCAACTGGGGACACGTTCGAATCTCAAGCTACAGTCATCCACAATACGAAGCTTCCAGAAGATCAACAGCCAATAGAGATCGCAAACTTGTAACTGCCTGATCGCTGATAACATAACATTACATCATAGATACGGGTACCAGTATTTGTAGCAAGCAGCAAGGGTTACCAATGTACCCAAGCAGGAGTTTGTTGATCCTCGATGTTAACATCGCAGATGTAGAGTATTTCGAAAACACTTGTTTTTCAAGTTGAGATTGACATATAGTTCTCGTATTTGTACAATGGTTGAGGAACCTCAACAAACCTCACACCCCCACTTTCAGAAACGAAATGATCCAGAAGATAAGTCGGTAGCTATCTTATACAACTCGAATATTGCTCAATCCAACATTTTTCAGCCGATAAGCGTATTGAGGTTGCTCCTCTGCTTCCTCCTCGTCGCTGCTGATGTCGTCTCCCAATCCGCTCCAGCGGGAGTAATCCACACAGGTGTGTCCCGTCGGTTTCGGAATTGCAGCCCACCCCACCGGTTTCGGAGGTGGTCCTGCCAGAACGGGCAACTTACGCATTGGTTGGTGGGAGGGAGAATCGGGAGGAGTCTCACTGTCCGCCTCCGGAATGGGTGCCAAGGCCATCTGAGTCCGCAATCGCTCTCGCAAATTACGGTACACTTCGGATTCGGGGTTGGTTTCAAGCAAGCGATTGACGTCGAACAAGGCGGAATGGTAATCTTTCATTGCAACTAAAGTCTGGGCTCGCAGCATCAGCGCCCCTGCGTGCTTGGCATCGAGCTCTAGAACCGCACTGCATTCTTCTGCTGCTGGCTTAAACTGCTGCAGCTTGAGATAGCATGCTGCTCGATTGCTGTGAAGGGCAATTTGATGATTCAGCAGCGTGGCAGCATTCAGAGCCTCTGTGTATAGCTCCAGAGCCTCCGCATAATGTCCCGACCTGTACTTCTGATGGGCGCTCTCGGTCTTTGTAATCGGAGTCATTGCATGCCTACGCTCTTCGACTCCTGATTTTCTATCACACTACCTCAAATTCTGCGTATCTGCTTTCCCGTTTACTAAATCCCCGCTACAACACTGACGTCTCACATCCGAAGACTTCGGCCATGGAATTCCGGAGCAACGAACATCGTTGCAACCAAGGACAACTACAACCCTAGAATCTGCACGAATAATGATATACTATGAACGAGTCCTCAAAAGGACCTCCCAACCATGAGCCAGAACTCCACCACGGGCCGATCTTCTTCCAAGCACGAGACGAAATGCCTCCAACAAAAGCCCAATCCTGCCTCGCCTACTCGGAGACAGCACGACAAATTACTCCCACCTGAACACAAGGAAACATCACCTCTTTCACACCCTCAAAAACTCCCGCTGCGGGATCGAACAACAAACAATCAATCTCCCAGATCAAACCAACCATAGCCCTCCTCCGACTCACGAAAACTCAAAACAATCCTCTATTTCTTCTCCTTCACATCACAAAATCCAATTCGGATCATCTCTCTCTCTCTCTCCTCCGAACACAACCACTTCCTCTGCACACAAACCTACAATAGAACGAGAAACAGATCACTTTCAGCGACCTGCAATGACCGTCTTAAAATCCATAAACACAAGTAGCTAGATCCCAAACCAGAAGTGAATCTCGGAAGCTGCCTACGACAAGGGCGAAAAGAAAGTTTGGCAATTGCGAGCAGATGAAGAACCCTGCTGCTACTTTCCAATTCCGGACCCAACTAAATGGGCTGCCTTCGTGATCAATCAGCACTGGAACTGGGTGCCACCCAGTTGAGCCTACATACACTACGTTACATTGCAGGAGTGGGATTGTGTAGCCCAGTCCAGCCCAGCTCAGTTTCGAATGTATGACAGTAGAAAAACGGTGCGTTGATCGATCGATCGCCCTATCACTTGCAGTAAACCGTCACTCGTGCTCAGTCTCTCTGCTCCGACAACACTGGCATGATTGGTCACTGATCCCTTGGCTTCTTTTAACCGCATAGCATTGGGGCCCCTTCCCAATAAGATACTCTTAGTCCCCCTCTCTACTTTACCGGGTTCCCACATTCTTCAAGTCAGTAGCCATTTCGTGGATTTGAATCTGCTTGAGACAATTATCTGACGCTCTCTATCTTTGTGATGAGTCACATGCTAGGGAGCCGAAGATTTCAGATGCACCATGTTTTGTGTTTCATTACACGTTTCACTTTCTATGTTTATCTCTCTCTCTCTCTCTCTCTCTCTCGCTTTCTACTAGGCTTTGGAGGGGTTTAAGGGTGTTCCAGCATGTGCAGGTGGTCCAAGTAATTTGAGGAAGGATTCATTTTTACTGGTTTGTAGAAAACAAAAACAAAAATGGAGTGACACTTGGGTCTTTGTAGAATAAACATGGTTCCTTAGTTATTCTTTCTTGCAAAACACACAAGCTATTGTGAGGCTTTGTTGCACAGAAGACACACAAATTGGTGATTTGAATCACTACTAAATGTTTAGAGACGATTAGTGGTTACATGTGACAATGTATGCACTTTGTGGAACATTTAAAACCATTTAGCTTGGTTGTAAAATCTAGGATGAATAAATCAAGTTATAAACAAAGTCAAATAGACAAATACATTGACTATTTGTAAAAAAAACAAGTATGATTTTTGGATTTTCATAGGGGTAGGTCCAATTATTAGAAGCAATTCTACTTGCTTTTATTAGTCCAAAAGTAGCCTACCAATACCTATTATATTTCTAGTCCTACATTCTTTCTTCTCTATATTTTATATTTTAAATTTTATGTATTTTCAATTAAGTAAAGAAGTCAAATAAAAAAATAATAATAATGCATCAACAAAACAATTTTAATTGTGCTGAACATCCATTAAGTAAGCAGTGTCTTATTTAATATAGACTTTATTAATTTCTATTATAATATATATCTAATAGATGTGTCTTAAATATCAAAAACCTAATACACTATATATATATATATATATATATATATACAAAATACATCTTTTCTATAATAATAATAATAAAGATACAAAAATTTACAATAATAATAACCATTTATAAAAAAATTGAGATTTAAGATATTAGAATTATAATAATATATTTATAATCAAATATTAATGAAAAGCCACATTAGTATCAATCGCCCATTTGTTCAAGCATTTGTAATGACAAGTGTTGCTTGAAAGAACATAACACACAAAAAAATTTATTTATTAATTTTTAAAGAATTCAATAATAATACAATATGAAATAATATGTTTATATTTAATAAGATATATTTGAGTACATTGTAGTAACTTGGTAAATAGTTTTCTTACTACATCCGATATTTTATAAGCAATGCCAAAAAATTAAATTAAATTAAATGCTACATTAAGAAAAAAATAGATTGTATAAAAAAATGCAAGTGATTTAAGAGATTACAAGTAGAGTATCTTGCTTAGCAAGATATTCACACATTTAACATATATGACTAAATAAAAGTGCCACATTCATAGGTTTTTTATGTATAAAATCTTACTTTGGAAAAAAAAAATGATAAATTTAACAAGAAGTTTTATAATAAAAGTGCCATTTGAAAAGAAATATTGGATAAACATCAACAACAATGAACCTCAAGGAATTAGAATACATACTTTAAAATAGGATTTTAAAATTATTCAAAAAAAATTATTATGATAAGATTTGTTTGCACATAGATCAATATTAGAGATGTTGGTAATATCAAGAAGAATCAATAAAATATAATGATTATTTATAAGAAATAATTTTTTATCTTAATAAATATTTTGAATAATAATTTATTTATTTTAAATTATAAGTAATAGATATATTGTAGGTCAGTATTAATAATGCAAATACAAAAACAAATACAAACTTTTAAATAAATTAATTCTACCATTTAATGTTATTTATTATATAATAGTTTCTTTAAAAGAAGTACAATACTAATAGAAAGTTTGTTTCTTTTGGTGGAGGTACAAAGAACAACAAAACTACAAATGCAAAAGAATAATAAAGATTATTAAGAAAAAATGTACTGAAAACTTATATGCAAAGTAATATTATTGCCTTAATTTTGTTGTAAAGGTGCCATATCCAAAGACCAAGCATATCAGTAAAAATTAAGTGGTTTTTACAATAAGAATTTAATATGCTTTATAATAAGATTTATAGGATATATATTACAAAAAATTAAATAACTGTAAGAGAATTATAGTTAATAAGAATATATATATATATATATATATATATATATAAACAAAGATAAATAAATATAAAAAAATATGATTGAAGTTAAAAGTCTTAAAATGTAGAATATAAGAAAATTTAAAGCTTTTACTTTATTATAAAGTTTACAATACAAAAGTTAAATAAATTTTATTAAGTAAAAAGATTATCTTTTGTTACTGATATCCAACTACATAAAACACCATTTATATTAATGATGGTGTTTTATGTAGTATTTTTTATTATTCCATATTATATAATAATATTACTATTCACTATGATGTTTATTTATTTTTTTCATTGTTTAAGATGTTTTTAATAATTGAAAAATTAAGATATTTATTGTCTTTGTTATAAAAGTAAAAAATTAAAAATAAACATCACTCTTTAGATATTAAATATAAATTTCTTGATGCATACAATAAGTTTAGATTATTTCTTTTTTTTTCTATTTTTTATTATTAATTGCATAATAAGTAAAAACATATACTTCTGAATTGTGTATCTTCTTTCAATAAATAAAATGTCACTAAATGCTAATTTTCATTGTAAGAATGTGTATTTCAAGTTAATATATAGTAAATATTCTAAATAATAGTATTTCCTATATTTCAAAATTATTTACCAAGTCAAATATAAATTTATGTTTTAAGCACATGGAAGATATATAGAAAAAAATAAGTTTGAATACAAATAAAGGATATTAAGACAAGAGCAAATATTCACAAGATTATTAATAAGTTGGCACATATAACATAGTTTTCCACCAGCTTAAAATCTTGTAATAATTCTTGTAATGTGTTGACATTGCAAATGCTACTAAGTTACATGAAGCTTTTTTATGGCCAAAATAAAAGTATATAAAAGATTTTGGATAAATTTAAATGTAATCAAATTAATAATATATTTCAAAGATTTAAATGTGAATGAATAATAAATAAAACATCCCATTTTGCTAACAGGACATGACATTTGCCTTTACAAAATAAATTCGAAATTTTGAAGTTATTTTTAAATACTTTATAAAAAAATAAAACTAAATAGAACTTTATAGAGACAAAAAAAATATCCTACAGAGATAATAAGTATTGTCTAAATCCATACATCCATTAATTTTACATTGAAGATTATTCAGTACTATGTATTTTTGTCATTTCTACAACCATTTTCAAGAAATATATGCAACATTTTGTTAAAAAAGATAATAATAATTTATAAGAGTCTAAAACTTATAGTAATTATCTCTCTTTGTGTATATGTATATATATATATATATATATATATATATATATATATATTAATGATAATAGTTTATTATCTATTAAATAACTAATTTGGTTCCAAATTTATATTAATTTCGAAACTTAAATTATTTTGATAATTTATATAATAATGCTAATATTAATAGTAAAGATTTAAAATGTTATAAGAAATCTTAGCCAAAAACAAATATTTTACACAAAATACTATATATTTTTAAAATAAAATTTAATGAGGAATTAAATAATTATTAAATATAAATGATTTTGAAGAATTTTTTTGTGGAATGAACTTATACATGAATATTGTCTAATAAATTTTTGTTTATAGTAGACCTAATTAGAAAAGAAGATTTTCCATCTTGCCTATTATATGCTTGGTGCTTAAATAACAAGCATATAATAAATGAAAAGACAAATCCTTCTTTTTAAAAAAAATAATTAAAATTTAAAATCATAAATTTAGAAAATTTTATTAATAGAAAAGGTTGAAATTTACTTCATTCATCTTATATCATAAAAATAGTATTAGTTCTTATATGTGGAAAAAAAATAGAAAAAAATTGGATACTTATGTACAATTTCTTTTGACTCAATCCTCCTACTTCTTTTCATCATATATGAAATTATTTTTTATGGTGGGAATGTCAATTTTTTTAATTTCCATTTATCTAAAATTCAATCATGTTCTAATTCTTCACTCAGATGGTCTTCATTGTATCAAAATCCTTTTAAAAATGAAGAATGTTTTTATTTACTAAACAAAAGAAATATTTACATATCACATTCTACTATTTTGTAGCTCTCTTTAGAACTTCTTTTACACCTATTTTTTAATCTTTTGAAAAAAAACATACTCTATTATGATAATGACCTTTTAAAATCCGATAATTAGATTAGATTCTATAAATCAAGTTTAAATCTTCTTCTTGATGTGACATTTTAACTTATTACAAAATAAATAAATAAATAAATAAATAAATAATTGCATATTGACAATCATATAAATAGCAAAGAGAAATAAGATCTACACAAGCATGAAAATAAAAACTTTAGTTCATAAATTTATTAATGCCACACCTAAAGTATAATATGCTTCTTTCAAACTTACTCCTACACTGCAAAATCTACCCTATACATTGACCCTCAACTCTAATTCTATCCTATATTATATCCCAATAGGTCTTCTAAACTAGACCTTCTAAACTTCATTCTACATTTTGGCATTCCTATTTTTGTGTCACATGTGACATATATTTCAAATCCTATAGGGACATTACAATTTAACAAAATATAAGTCACTATCAACAAAACTCTCTTTAAAACACATTGGAATAGAAGAAAATAAATAATTTTTTCTATCTCAACAAATGGAAATAAATAAATAAATAAATAAAATTAAATTAAAAATGTCATTCTATCTAAAATATTTTACTTTGATGAAAAAATCTTGCTTAAATAAAACTAAGAAGATAATTTGAATCAAATAAAATGTTTTTTGAAAAAATATAGAAATTAAAATAGAATAAAATAAAATAACAAAAAAAAGCT